GATATTTATTTTTGCAGTTTAAATGCTCCTGCTACAGCGTGAAAGGGGAATCATTGGTAATTTCAGCTAAACTTTCAGTGTGAGTTTTGGCCAAAAAGCCCGCTAAAAATGTGGATCGTTTGCTTAAATATTCAAATTTATCAGGGAATTTTTTTCCTAAGGAAATCAGAAAGGACAAAGAAATTAATCGGTGCAATTTCTCCTTTGTTTTTGGCTTGAAACTGATATTAAAGGGGACTTAGAAAGAAAATTCAAGGTTTTAAAACCGCTAAGTCATTTATTTTTGCCTGCTTCAAAATAGTTGCCAACATGTGGATACGCACGAGTGCGGTTGAAAATACGCAGTGACTAAATGCCCTTTAGCCGGGCAAGGTTGAAATTAAAGTTGGAAATGGTCAAGAGATCAAGAGATAAACACTTACCGGCTAACCTTGCTTGTTTTTCCCTAGAGGGAGCAGGTAATGGGTGAAATTGCACCAACGACAAAATTCCGTAAACGAGTCACACACCAGCAAGCAGTCCTGATCACTAATGGAACTAAGCGCGCAGAAATCCCTTGTTAGAAAGCTTGATTAGCATATGTACACTCTTCTACAGACGACCGCACTTAAATCGTAAAACAGAATTTCTTTGGTACAGGCGATCAGATGAATTCGAGCGCAATTTGGAATAATGACACACAAGTTTTTTGTTTTTGTTTTTTTTTTTTTTCAAACAATGAGTCTTCGAAGAAGTTCAACAGCGCCTTTTTTAATTCAAATCACCCAAAAGGTTTGAGTGGGTTTTTTATAATTATGCAAAGGCTTGTTACCATGCGCGGCAGCCTGATCAGAAGCGTACAATTTTCAAGTGTCGACAACCGAGCGATGTATTTGTCCACTAAAAAGCCAAAATAATTTTTGAAATCGCTTGGCGTTTCTGAGCAAATTTCTGATATTCTAAGAAGTTTGAAAGAACCTTTCGGTTGCAATTCTGTGAAAATTTCTGACTGCCAGGCATTTAGTCTATTCGAGACCGTGCCCGGCTGCCGGGCATTTGGTCACAGCGAAATAAAAGGTAACAAACTGTTTATCCAGGCTTTGAACTTTATGGCGGAAAGGAGTAACCCGCCATAATTGTAATTTTGATGGAAAGCCGGTAAGACAAAGACTTAACGCGGGCTCAGATTAAGTGAAAATGCTCTCTGTATCTCAGATTTTCAAGCAAGTAAGTCTAGAACTTTACCTTCTCGAAGTTAGACGTGAAACTCTCAAAGCGTAGGAGAGACTTGCATGCTCGGTAATGCACTGTTATATATGGCATTTATTACTTTTATATAAAAAAACAAACAAACAAACAAACAAAAAAGAAAACATCAAACCTAAATTTTGATTACCGAAAAAGAAAAGTTTGCAAAACTTTTTATTGCTGCTTGGTTTGATGGTTCTGTTGCTATTGATGGATAAATTACAGTACTATAACTGCTGCTAAAACACTAGGACACTTTTTGAAATAGAATTTTATAGCAATATTGCGCGCTGTACTTCCCGGTGGTCTTGAGTAAATACGTTTTATTTTTGTAGAATTTAATGGCTTACATGCATCAATGTCAGTATCTGAGGAACTGCCCACCTACCCCTCCCCTAACCC